GGGGGTAATTGCCTCAAAATATTAGGAATTAGGGGCCAAAAAAGGGGCAAAAAACAAGCATTTTTCTAGTTTCATGACAATAACTTGTGTGTAAGTGTATGGATCTTTCTGAATTTGTACTACAAGGTTCCATATCACAAAGAGAAAGCTGGAATTGAGTTTGGGGGTAATTGCCCAAAACGTTTAGGAAAAAGGGGCCAAAAATAAGCATTTTTCTAGTTTCCAGACAATAACTTGTGTTCAAGTGTATGGATCTCTCTGAAATTGTACTGCAAGGTACCATACCACTAAGAGAAGGCTGGGATTGATTTTGGGGGTAATTGCCTCAAAATTTTAGGAATTAGGGGCAAAAAAGGGGCAAAAAACAAGCATTTTTCTAGTTTTAGGACAATAACTTGTGTGTAAGTGTATGGATCTTTATGAAATTGTACTACAAGGTTCCATATCACAAAGGGAAAGCTGGGTTTGAGTTTGGGGGTAATTGCCTTAAACGTTTAGGAATTTGGGGCCAAAAAGGGGCCAAAAAAAACAAGCATTTTTCTAGTTTCCAGACAATAACTGGTGTTCAAGTGTATAAATCTCTCTGAAATTGTACTGCAAGGTACCATACCACAAAGGGAAGGCTGTTATTGAGTTTTGGGGTGATGAATCATAAGGGGGTTCAAAAAATTTGGGGGGGGGGGATTTTTTTTCCTTTTTTTTTCTTTAAAATTTTCCATTTTAAATTGGTTATTTCTGATTTATATATAAAAGCAAATAATTATGATATGGTTTGAATAGGTAAATTAAATTTTTTTAAGTTCTTAGACCACATTCATTCTGTGTCAGAAACCTATGCTGTGTCAAATATTTAATCACAATCCAAATTCAGAGCTGTATCAAGCTTGAATGTTGTGTCCATACTTGCCCCAACTGTTCAGGGTTCGACCTCTGCGGTCGTATCAAGCTGCGCCCCAGCGGAGCATTTTATTATTGTTCGTTCTTATGTTGTACTGTTACACCACTGTCCCAGGTTAGGGGGAGGGTTTGGATCCCGCTAACATGTTTAACCCTGCCACATTCTGTATGTATGTGCCTGTCCCAAGTCAGGAGCCTGTAATTCAGTGGTTGTCGTTTGTTTATGTGTTACATATTTGTTTTTCGTTCATTTTTTGTTCATAAATTAGGCCGTTAGTTTTTCGTTTGAATTGTTTTACATTGTCATTTCGGGGCCTTTTATAGCTGACTGTGCGGTATGGGCTTTGCTCATTGTTGAAGGCCGTACGGTGACCTATAGTTGTTAATTTCTGTGTCATTTGGTCTCTTGTGTAGAGTTGTTGTCTCATTGGCAATCATACAACATCTTCTTTTTTATATTTAAGGTTAAGTTTTGGTGGTCAAGTCCATATCTCAGATACTATAAGCAATAGGTCTAGTATATTCGGTGTATGGAAGGACTGTAAGGTGTACATGACCAACTGGCAGGTGTCATCTGACCTTGACCTCATTTTCATGGTTCAGTAGTTATAGTTAAGTTTTTGTGTTTTGGTCTGTTTTTCTTATACTGTATGCAATAGGTCTACTATATTTGGTGTATGGAATGATTGTAAGGTGTACATGTCTAGCTGGCAGGTGTCATCTGACAATGACCTCATTTTCATGGTTCAGTAGTCAAAGTTAAATTTTTGAGTTTTGGTCTTTTTTTCTAACACTAAATGCAATAGGTCAACTATATTTGGTGTATGGAAACATTTTATGATGTACATGTCAGTCCCGCAGGTTTAATTTGACCTTGACCTTATTTTCACGGTTCATTGCTCAGTGTTAAGTTTTTGTGTTTTGGTCTGTTTTTCTATCTATAAGCAATAGGTCTACTATATTTGTTGTATGGAAGGATTGTTAGCTGTACATGTCTGCCTGGCATGGTTCATCTGATCTTCACCTCATTTCCATGGTTCATTGGTCAATGTTTAGTTTTCTTGGTTAAGTCTGCTTCTTAGAAACTATAAGCAATACCGGTAGGTCAACTGTATTTAGTAATTTGAATGATTGTAAGGTGTACATATATTTCTTGTCAGGTTTATATGACCTTGAATTCATTTTCTTGGATCATGTTGAGTTTATGTGATAGTTGTAGTAAAGCTTTATATTTAGGACTATCAACATGATATCAATGATTAGTAAAGAAGGCGCAACATTTCAGTGTGTGCACTCTTGTGTATACATTAAACACCACATTTACTGTTTTTACCCTGATTTTATGGATCACTGAACATAGAAATGTCATAATGTGAAATTATAGTACATTCTTAGGTTAAAGTTTTAGGTTAAGGTACATAGCTTACCATGAAGTTGAATTTCATACACATGTTCATTATGTGGTGAATTTTTAAATTCAGTGCCAAACTAAGATTTTGAGCCTGATTACATGATTGACTAGACATTGACACATGCTAGTGTTTGCCAGGCATTGTGTCCTGTAATAGGAATTTGTCCTGTACTAAGAACTTTAATAGTAGTCGCTGAGTATGGAGTTTTTGTGAAAGTTTAATATTAGTGAGATTTTTGCATGACATCCTGTCAACTGCTTGTTGATCATGTTTATACATGTCTTAAAATTAATATCTGACACATTGGTGTTTTGTGAACTTGGAAATAAGTTATTTGATAGAATAATAATGTTTTGAGATTATCAAAATAAAAAATATCCCATTTTTACTACATTGTGTATTAATGATTAAGTATATAAAAAAGAAGATTTAGGATATATGTATAACCATATATAAAAATGAGACAGCAACCGAACAACACAAAAATAAGAAAAAAAAACCAATATAATTTTTTGTATCAATGTTATAATTTCCAACATGTCCAAAGAGTTCAATGTATTTTCTAATTGAAATAAAACACAAGTGGAACTCTTTCAGAACTTCAGAAGCTTAAAGAAGTGCTGTTTTTATTGTTGGCTTTCTGTATAATATATTGCAAATTCTTGTGAAAAATTTTATTGTAATTGCCTAAAGTTTTAACATTGATCTATATATATATATAACTACTGGGGAAAATACCCAAATGTTATAAAGAAGAATACATAAATTGATTGTTATATAATATTAGAATAGGAAGATGTGGTATATTGCTAATTTGACAACTCTCCATCAGAGACCAAAGGATGTAGGAGGTTAGCAACTGATGACACTGGACAACCTTCAACAATCAGTAAAATCCATACCGCATAGCTATTTTTATTGAAAATCATATGTTCTTGCTACATGTATGTATACAATTTTTTATTATCCATAACTTCGGATTTTATTGGTTCTTTTTCAGAAGGATTGGAATTCATCACTGAGAATAGAAGGAGAAAACACAGAAACAAGACCAAAATAAATTCAAAGACAAAAGTCAGATCAGTTATTATTTTCATCACTCAGCCAATGAATTGCAGTTCTATTAAATATCTAAAGATATTAAAACCACAATAATGACAATGTTCTGTGCTGAATGGCAAAAAAAGTGGACTATACATTACGATCACACAATGCTGGATGATAAGAAACTATTAATTTTTTGGGTGGAGGGATATCCTGAAAAAAAATAGATTTATGTAAAAAGCTACTAGTATGTTAAGCCTATTAATAGAGTTTTCATTGATTTCAAATGGGAAAAAATTGTGTTTCAAAAAAGTGTTCTAGAATTCATAAATAAACATATGATGATACTTACATTATCTGCTTTGTTGTTTAAAAGTTTAGTTTTGAACAGTTATAGAACAATATAATTGCATTAACATTTCCAAGGAAAAAAAAGATATTCAACTAAAAAGATTCATCTTAAAACAATTTACTACCAAACAGAATTCATTGTAACATACACATTTATTTACTGTATATTTATAATTTGAATCATAGGATTTTATTTTGTCCCATGGGATATTAAAAATCCCATGGGATAATTATAGTCCCATGGGATTTTTTTTGTCCCATGGGACAACAAATATCCCATGGGACTACAATTATCCCATGGGACCCAAAAAAATCCCATGGGATTTAACCAAAATCCCATGGGATAATGGTCAATCCCATGGGATTTGCCTTATCCCATGGGATATTGAAAATCCCATGTTTTTCTAAATCAAATTACAAAATATTTATAATAATAACAGCAGAAAAGCATTGAAATTATTGAATCCCATGTAATTCCGCACATTTTGGTTATTTACACCACACTGTAGGTCTAAGGAGAGGCGGCGGCGGATTTGCAAATGAGTGTTTTGCAAATTAAAAGTGTCCAGTGTTATATATATATACAAGAGTACCCTTATGAAAATAGAAATTTTGCTGCAACCTTGCGGTAAGGTTGCAGCAAACTTGCGGCAATCTTTTTAGTACGCCAGAAGATCTGAAAGTTGTTCACCAGTGTTCGCTGCTAGCAGAAAGTTTGCCGCAAGTTTGCCGCAAACTATTAACTTTCTTAAAATTGAAGGAACTTTGTAAACAAACTTTAAAGCAGTCCAAAAGTTTGCTGGAACTTAGCCGCAAACTTTATAGCATACTGAGCATGCTCCCTGCACTAATATCATACCTCCTGCTTCTTTAAATTTAAAATAGGAGGGAAGTTTAAATGTTGGGTGTTTTCATGTAAAAAGTAAATGGATGTAGATGTCTGAGTTATATATGATTCAATTAGTTCCTGGAACAGGCCATGCATCATTGATCATCTCTTTGTAAGTCATTTTAGACATTTTTTGCATGTTAATTTGTTATCATTGGTACAAAATTTATGTCAAAGAACCCCCATTTTGAAAATAACAATTTTGTTACACCCTTACTGCTCTTAGAGAAATATTATTACAGCATACTTGCCAACCTCTGACAATGAGAAATCATGTCATGACATGACATGACATGTTAAAAAGCGTGTGAAAACGCGTGACGTAGATGCGGACTTTTTCATATGAACAATGTTCATAATTTCACAGTAATCATTATACAAATTTGTTAATATAATAAACAAGAGTCTACTGTAAACTTTTATTGAATTCAACTGTTGCTTTTGAAGCAACAGCACTAGGCACATATATATTCAAAACAACTGCCAGTTTGGTTACATTTACTTGATAACAAGGCACAATTGTCAAGTTCTGATCAGAATTCAGTGTAAATTTATTTATAACTGAAAATGCTCTCTCACAGTCAGAATTGGTATTTGGCTGAACTAAAATAGCTTGATCAAGCTTTGAACAAGTTTCATAACAATTGTTTTTGCCATCTAAAATGTCAACTTTAATCACTGCCTTTGCTTCCAACAAACTATATATGTTGCTATTGGCTGGTCAAGACTGTGTAGTTCATCAGAAGACAGCTGGTACTGTGAGAACTGATCCAACAGTTCAGTGATATTTCCATCTCCTATGACCTGTTGAAATCGGTTGGCCAGATTTGAAACTGAAAAAGAAAAATATTTCATAATTTGATTACCAAATTGAGTCCATTATTGATTAAACATGTTAAATGCCTAATCAAATAGCTACATTGTTGTTCTCCTCTCACATGTATTGTTATGATTGCAACATAGGGTGCACAAATTATGCGTTATTCGTCCCTTGATCATTTAAACTCGAAAATATAATTTATAAATCTTGAATCTTGGTACGTACACATCGTTTTCGCTTAACAATCTTATCTATAGACGACGGTACAGGCCCTGAAAGCGACCTCTTTCTGTGGACATTTCCCCTAAGTTAATTTGAAAGAAAGATTGTCACAAAATCGTAAAAACTTATCACAAACTACTTACCTTAAGGGGTTTTGCTGTTCGTCCATCATGATAGAATTTAAAAACAATGGCGACCAAACAATTACTTCAGAACTCTCGGTATTTATCGTCTAATAATGGAAAAACCTAAGAATCGCGATATCACTAACGACCAAAAAATAAAAACAACGAAAAAGCGTGTAATTGCGTGTAAAGTGGTGAAAAGCGTGTACACGCCATGTGAAAAAATCCTCGCGTGTAAACCGTTGAAAAAGCGTGTATTACACGCGAATATCATGTCACTTGGCAACTATGTATTACAGTTGTGAACTTAAACTTTGTGGATAATGATGTTTTGCAGGAATGGTCTTCTTATGTTCAAGCAATTTGTAATTCTTTATTGTTAAATCACATTTGATTAATATTTTAGATATAATTTTATGCTTTATACAGTATAAATGTTGTAATGCCTTAATCGAAGTTTCTTTATAATTGGCCTTATAAAAACAGATCGGTTCTTGATTTTTGTCATACATATGAATCTGTTAAGAAATCAATCAGCTCATTCTGAATTCTGCACTGAGTAAATTAATAGATATACATGTACCTATATTGTTTTTTTTTGGTCACAATTTACATTTCTCTCTTTCATATTTCTTTAAAAATGAAATTTTGATCAGCAGGTGAGCAGGTAAATAACAATTACTGGTCATAATAATTAATACAATCTAAATTTTGATCCATATGTGCATGTTTTGAATGAGACGTACAGTTTTGAAAAAGAATTAACAAAAAGGTAGTCCTAGGGAATCATTATCATCTGATTTGCCAGAAGTTCACCGCAAACTATATAAGGCTTTGAAAGTTTGCCGGAAGTTCACCACAAAAATTGCCAGAAGTTCGCCACAAACTATATAAGGCTATCAAAGTCCGCCAGAGGTTCACCACAAATAGTCGCCAGAAGTTCACCACAAACTATATAAGGCTATCGAACTTTGCGGCAAGTCTGCTGCAACCTTCATTTGCATGGTAAAAAGTCGCGGGGAAGTTGCCGCAAACCATTTGCAGCAACCTTACCGCAGTGTATGCGGCTGATCTGCCGCAACAGTTCGCAAGAAGGCTGATTTTTCAGTAAGGGTAACATGTACCTCTATAAATATATATATTTAGTTTTTCTGGGTTTTTTGTGGTCACAATTTATATATATCTCTCTTTCAAATTTCTTTAAAAATGAAAATTTGATCAGCTGGTAAATTAACAATTATTGGTCATATAATACAATTCAAATTTTGATCCCTATGTGCATGTTTTGAATAAGACGTACAGTTTTGAAAAAGAATTTACAGAAAGGTTGCCACAAGGCATCATTAGCATATTTGATTTGCCGGAAGTTCACCACAAACTATATAAGGCTATGAAAGTTTGCCGGAAGTTCACCACAAAAAGTCGCCAGAAGTTCGCCACAAACTATATAAGGCTATCAAAGTTCGCCAGAGGTTCACCACAAATAGTCGCCAGAAGTTTGCTACAAACTTTGCAACAAGTCTGCCGCAACCTTCATTTGCATGGTAAAAAGTCGCGGTGAAGTTGCCGCAAACTATTTGCAGCAACCTTACCGCTGTGTTTGCGGCAAATCTGCCGCAACAGTTCGCCAGAAGATTGATTTTTTACGTAAGGGGAAACTTGCTTTTTTTACTATCTCTATAAAGTTTTAGATTTTGGTCGATTGATTGTTTTACCCCACATCAGTCATCTCCTTTTAAACATATTTTACAGTAACTGGTTTGGACATTCTCCTTTTGAAATATTTTACAGTAACTGGTTTGGACATTCTCCTTTTAAACACATTTTACAGTAACTGGTTTGGACATTCTCCTTTTAAACATATATTTTACAGTAACTGGTTTGGACATTCTCCTTTTAAACATATTTTACAGTAACTGGTTTTTACATTCTCCTTTTAAACATATTTTACAGTAACTGGTTTCGACATTCTCCTTTAAAACATATATTTTACAGTAACTGGTTTGTACATTCTTCTTTTACACATATTTTACAGTAACTGGTTTGGACATTCATTCTTCTTTTACACATATTTTACAGTAACTGGTTTGGACATTCTTCTTTTACACATATTTTACAGTAACTGGTTTGTACATTCTTCTTTTAAACATATTTTACAGTAACTGATTTCGACATTCTCCTTTTAAACATATTTTACAGTAACTGGTTTTTACATTCTCCTTTTAAACATATTTTACAGTAACTGGTTTGTACATTCTTCTTTAAAACATATATTTTACAGTAACTGGTTTGGACATTCTTCTTTTACACATATTTTACAGTAACTGGTTTGTACATTTTTCTTTTACACATATTTTACAATAACTGGTTTGGACATTCTTCTTTTACACATATTTTACAGTAACTGGTTTGGACATTTTTCTCTAAGACAAATGATCATTGGATTCCAAATCAACACAATGAATTAAACTTAAAAATAAACAAATTATTATAGGCTCTAACCTAAAGAATGTTGCTATAGATGAGTTTGTAATGACAGAAATTGTATCTCTTTCTCTATAACGCCTGAGCTTCCGAGGCTTCACCTCATCAACACCCTACCAGGAGGTCCTCAGCGGTGGCCTTGACCCGCTTGGGTCCCGCAGGCACCTTGCCGAGGTTCGGGCGTACACTTAAAAATGAACTAGCTACGCCACTGTAAATTTCTTATACTGGGAACCAGTTTGGTAGCACGGCGCTGTATCTTTTCAATTTTCCTTATATCTTTCTTTAAATATGGTGACCACACTGTAGCGGAATATTCCAATAACGGACGTATTATCGATTTATATTATAAGTAATATGGTTCGCTACTGACCCCCTACGGATCCATAGAGGGTTAGTAACAGGGGGTGAGGACGAAGGCCGAATCTCCTATGGATTTTATTCACCATCTATGGTCCGTAGGGGATCAGTAGTTAACCGTATAACGAATTTATCGCCCGTGAGACTTGTTTCCGCTGTGTTTTGTAGAGAAATAAACAATAAAACACAACAACATTAATAGATGACGTCACCATTAACAGTAGACGTAACGTCATGATCCCCCTATGAAATTTACCAACCCCCTACGAATCCATAGGGGGTCACCACGTGACGGCGTTAAACCAATCACAACGTGATAATTTACCGGCGGTGCGATAAAAAGTAATAAACATATCCTTTTCCAAATAGTCAAAAGAAATACGGATTAATGCTAAGACTCTTTTTTTTACACAGTTAGTAATATGTTTGGCAAACTTAAGTTTAGGCTCAAATGTTACTCCAAATCCTTTCCTTCAGTAACCATGGTAACAGGATTAACCTGGACATAATTGTCTTCATTATCTAACATTGTGTATCTAGACAAGTTATTCTTTTGACCAAAGTGCATTACTTTACATTTATTTGCATTAAATAATAATGTCCATTTTCTAGACCAATCACATAATCTATCTAAATCAGCTTGTAATTCCTGGTGTTCTTGCTCATTAACTACGGACGAATGAACCTTTGTGTCATCTACAAAAACTTTAACCAGTCCAGCAACTGCATCTGGCATATCATTTATAAACGCCGAAACAGTACGGGCTCCAGGACACTGCCCTGACGTATTTACCTGACAATATCGGGATGAGGGTATTTAGTCAAATCTTAACAGGAAGCTGTGATAATATTAAAAAACGACACGGATAAAAACAATAAACAATGTCAAAATGTTTTTAAGGCTTTAAGTAAATCTTTATTTGGGTAAGTTGATGCAAGCATACGATCTGTATTGTCTCTTATACTGTTAGAGGCATAAAATGTTTAACAACCAAATCATATATATATGTGTAAAAACGTTAATTATGAGCTATGAAAGTCAAGAAGTTCGTGCATTTTTCCGAGTAGGTTTAAACAAATTTCAAACATTAGCTGTCACTACCCTATAGATTTGCAACTGTTGGTTATATTGATAATTTAGAATCTTCATTGAAGCTGGAGCACGAATGTTGTGATAATTAATTCGATTGGTGTGTCATTTGTATGTATAAGTGACATCCCTTTGTACTATGTTCAATTCCTAAAAATCTTTCGAATCAATGCGTGTATTGTCTCCCTTGAACAGGTTCATAATTTCATCTTTACGTATAGTTATTTTATTTAATTTCAAATCATTACAAAATCTATAAATTTACTAGATCTTAGTATTTATCATTGGTTTATTAAAGACATTTATGTATGTCTATAATTTTATGTATTTGTTTTGAAACGTTTAAACTTATTATATACCAATATAAAGAACCTTTCATTATGTTATAAATGTTATTTAGTTCCAAACTTTACCTTTGACAGACTGTGCAAGATCCTCGAGATCATCGGTGTACATCATTTACTCTCATCATTAAATTACTTAGTGTGATGAGTCAATCTATTGTAAAAATAAGAAAATGTTTACATTAACAGGTGGATAATCGTAATACTATTATAAAAAGTATTGTGTCTACTTTTAATTTGAGGTAAAATAATCAGGTGAATAACACATGTTTCATTTTGCTGTCAATAATACACTGTTTCAAGTTGTTGTATGCAATTCATATAATCTCCAACAGCATTGATCCTGCTACTTGTAAAATCATTTATTGCTTTATAAATTAATATGGTGTAAACAATTATGTCAGAGTTCAAAAGAAGCAGACATGTTGTCTTAGTTTATCTTCATTAGTTGTTCCCTAAGACAAATACACGTATGAAGTGTATCACCCCCTTACACAAACACACACAAGATACACATACGCACAAACACAAAAACAGCACTTTAAACTTATGTCAAATGCTTTAGTGAAAAATTATGATTGGAACCTACATAAAACATTTTAACTGTTTTGAAAAAGACTGTAAATGAAAACCGAATTATATTATCTCCACATAATGATAAATGTTGGGAAAATTAACCAGAGTTATCTTATATTAATCAAAGAGAGGGGCTAGCAAACAATTTTTAATTATAACTTGATTAACGTTAAAATAATTTTCCACTAAAAATGAAAGTTACTGTATTCAAATATAAGGACTTTTTAAGCTAAATCTACTAATTTTATTTCATATTATGAATTTTTATGACAATAGATAAACATGCTAAGTGATATGTATGTAAACGTGTTTCCTCCTTTGGAAACATAAGGTTGTTTACTTAGTAGGATTATTTATTATGCTGATTTTTTTATTTGCACTAATAAGTAATATACAAATAAAGGCCTTATTGTTCCTCCTTTGATGAGGTCAGA